CGACGGTCACGTCACCCCCCCCCCTCCCTTTCTACTCTAGCCTACTTTTGTTTACAGTGCAGTCCCGTCTGTATATATACACAACACTCTCGACCCACTTTGTTTGCCGAACCTTCAACTTGGCCGATTTTCTATGCTTTTAAGCTTCCCGACCATCCCTCCCCCTAATGGTGCATAAAAATCGTGCGATTTGTGCGAAATCGGATTAAATGTATAGGCGAGGATTGAAAAATCACGGCCTTTTGCTCGCCGATCGGTCGGGCGCGGATATGTCACCAAGTATCGGTAAGCCGATTTACCGATCAAAAGTTCCTCGCAATGCAAACTCGAGGGGGGGGGGCACTTTTTTTTATTATTATTTCTCAATACAAGCGGGGGTGCACACGCAACATATGCTCCTATATAGTTAAACACGCGGTATATATATACCGCGCTATTGTACCTTGCCGATTTCTTAATCTCTATATAGACGAGTTAATAATATAATAGAGGTACGCACTCCCGTTATCAAAATAACGATGTTTACCTCTCTCTGCTCAGTGCCCATATATACTCGTTGCGCAACCCCCTACGAGGTGTATAATATAAAGACGCCTCGTCAGAAATGATCCTCGATCCATCGTCATCGCAACAACGTAGCGGGTAAAAAAGAGTCGAGTAAGTACAACTAGGTGTACAACCCATCCATATATATACTAAGTAGATATACGCAAAGGAGAAAGGAGCGCGTTGAGCTATGTATACATAAATAGCATAAAGAGAGAGAGAGAGAGATAGAGAGGAGGGAACAAAGAGATCATACCCCTGCCGCACACACACATATATATATATATATACAAAGTGCATACTACTCCCTTTTGTCATTCTATGCTCGTGTATAGTCATCAGACGCGCCGTTATGTTGCGTATATTATGTCGTTAGCCGTCAAGCTCATGTATATATATTATGCGCTTGAGCGTAATTATGTAGCCACCATGTCGTGGGTGATTCGATTAAACACACTTTTTTGTACGACACGTGTATAATATATTTCGCAGGTCGCGACCCCTCGAACGTGGCGTTTCCGAGTATATTATTTTTATTATGATATTCGTTGGCGAATTCTTGCCGCGTATTAATACACTCGGGCGCGAGAAGGAACGCTCGCGTTTTCTGCAGCCGGAGGCTCTCTCTCCAGGAGTCTGGTACTCTGCACTTGTAATATATACTCGGTCGCGCGTAGTTGCAGGATCATATATATATATGGTTACGTTGTAGAGTAGTGAGGCTGCAGTTAAATAGGGATAATAGCCAAGCATATAGGTATATGTATATACAGGTAGTGCGAGAGATGAATGTGTATGTACATATATAATGTGTACCCTCGCAGTAGGGGGATGGTGTACGTGGGAACGCGCCGATCCTCCGGAAAATGCCGATATTAAAAGCTCGCTTTTCAAGTGTCCCTCTCTCTGTTGGGTCAGGCTCGGGTCTCGTCCTTTTTTTTTTTTTTTTTTCCTTTTTTGTCCCCCCCTCCGTTTCCTCTCTATACGTGTGGACGGACATTTTTGGGCCCCGGAAAATCTCCCTCTGCTTCCTTTGTCGTGCTTTCATCTATTGTGCGAAAAACGTGCGCAGGACAACAAGTAAGTATATACAGGTACGCGTACAAAGATGTTTGAGATTAGGTGATGACGATCAACACTGCGCTGTGCATATTTATGGAATTGAGAAATAAGATAGCCTCTTTTTGATACGGGGGTAGATATATATATATATATATATTACATATAGTTTTAGGTGGAGGTGAGCGAAGCGCCGCTGCAAAGAAAATGTGTGCCGCGGGTTTCCCACGAGTTGTTTAGTGTGTTTATATATATATAAAGCACAGCTCTTGGGGGGGGGGAGAAAGAGCACCTCTATCTTATATATATATATATACACATTATTTTGCTATACGGCTGTGAGCTTTGCCGTTCACTTCCCTCGCACCGTTTAGATTAACGAGAGAGAAAGGAGACGTATATACGTACAAGAAAGGTCTTCTTGTGTAGCTTGTCATGTCGGGGGACAAATCGATTCTCCGTGTCATGTATATATTATATATTATATATTATCTTTTTCCGAGATGTATAAGTACATTCGTCACTCGGCAATCCTTTGTTTTGAAGCTTTGACGATTTGGCTCTATGCGCGTCAAATACCTAGATGATCAGTCCACGTCTGCGTGATCACACTTTCCGCAGAGTGGCGGTGAAGGAAAAAAAGAAAAAAAAAAAAAAACAGAGAGCCGCCGTGTATACGCGCACAATGGGGCCGCGATGTGGATTCTTTCACGCGTGTACGTACGTATAACGGGGCAATAAAACGAGAGAGAGAGCACGTCGTCGTCGATCTAGACCCTAGATTATAATATATACTGGTACCTATACGTACATTACATAAACGCACTAGTGAGCGAGGCGCTTGACTTTTACAAAAAAAAAAAAAAAAAAAAAGAAAAAAAGAAAAAACCTTTGTTTTTTTTCCTACTTTGAAGGGAACAAAGAGCAAAAGGGAAGATAAGCCGAACGGCGGGGGGAAAGGGTTCGAGTTTCGTGCGATCCGTCGAGCGAATCGAGCTTCGAGACGAGTAAGTACAAGAAGAAGGGCATATAATACACACAGAGACGGGCAGCGGAAGTCGGCGCGAATTGCCATTACGTGATGGCCAGTGCCTTTTCTTGATTTTTTTTTTTTTTTTTTTTTTTTTTATTTGCTTTTGCGGGTGTACGGCGTGAGAATCTTACACAGTGTTCCCCGGGAGGGAACATAAGCACGCGTAAGAAAAGCATAATATAAAAGAGAGCCTCTGCATGTGGGGATTTATTTTTAGAGTCGCGAAAGCNATAATAATAATCGAGCCTTGTACATCACGGTGATTTCTACCTTTTTTCGATATACATTTCGGGGAATGTATTCAAATTTCGAGATTTATATCTCTTTTTATTTGCTTTTGCGGGTGTACGGCGTGAGAATCTTACACAGTGTTCCCCGGGAGGGAACATAAGCACGCGTAAGAAAAGCATAATATAAAAGAGAGCCTCTGCATGTGGGGATTTATTTTTAGAGTCGCGAAAGCCCCACAGCGAAGAAGCGCTGATTAGCACTGATCGGTTCAATCCTCCTTTCTTTTTCTGTCTCCCCGAGTTTCACTCTCTCGCTCAAGAAGAACAACAATGGGACGAGCAAAGGGCAGGGGAAGGAGAGAGGGCGAGAAAGCTGACCTGTTGATTTTCTCATTGACTATAATTCGAGTGTGTGTCTCTTATTGTAAGTGGCTTGCACGTACTGACAATACTTGAATATATACTCATGCACATGCATACTGCTTTAAACGCGTCTGACGGCTCTTTGTTCGATATGAATGGCCATATTAATAATAAATACACGTACATAGGTAGAGAGAGAGAGAGAGAGAGTACTTACCAGGTACAATGCATAAAAAATATGTACAGAGTCAGGGGTTTTCCAAGCTTTTATACATATACATATAGCTTATACATGGATGGAAAGGTGCAACAGCTGTAACGGTGGTGATTGCAAGCGCGTATATATGTATGTATATACACGTCACGAGTACGTTCCCACGCTGCTGTGTGTATATGATGCAGCTCGAGTTGTTACATCGAGGAGGAGGTGTATTATATATACAAGCGCGGGAGCAGCGTTACGGAACGCTCGAGGGCCTCGGGCGAAAAAAAAAAAAAAAAAAGAGGAAAACAGGGGGAGGGAGGATACGTACGTCTATAATACGCCGCTGATGCTCTTCTTCTTCGTAATTCTCGGCTCGAATAAGACTGATGCGCGCAAAGTCTTGTTGTTGTTTTTTTTTTTTTTTTTTTTTTTTTTTTTTTTTTTTTTTTTTTTTTTTTTTTTTTTTTTTTTTTTTTTTAATAGTCCAACAACAACAAAAATCGTCACATATGCTTCTTATCTCAGCGCCCGGGAAGCCTCGTTAGGGGGTAACAATAAAAGCGCGCTCTCGCGCAAAAAACCAAACAACGTCGGAGGAGGGGGGAGATTAATTATTGTCTCCCCAGTGCTTGGTATGACTCGAGAAGCGAGGAAAACCGGTTGTCGTAGAGTAGAGCGATTTTTCCCATATTGCCGACGAGCTAATTTGACGTTTACCGCGCTTCTTTTGACGTTTCCTTTTTTTTTTTTTTTTTTTTTTTAAATAAACGTATATAAGACACGCATGAAATAAAAATACCGTTTGCGGCTTTTTTTTTTTCACGCGTCCGTATAGTGTATATGGACTCGAGCTTCCGGTATCGGCGAATAATGCGGGAACAATAAGTGGGCCTCTTCCCTCCCGAAAAATGTCTTTTACCATAATACACGTGGGAGTTGATGAATTTAACGATTTTTTTAATGACCCTCTGGCTTTCTAAGTTCTATCTCGGATTGGAGCTTACGTGGGCGTAATTTTTACATTTCGAATATGCCCGTTCGATAAAGTGAAGAATATGATATACGTGCACGGGGCACAGAAGCGGAGAAGCTATACATACACGTCTCTCGCTTCTTATTTTTCTTTTGTTGTTGTATACCTCCCTCTCGGGTGTACATGAATAGGTCGCTCGATCGATTGGTCGTCTTTTCAGAAGACCCTCTTCTTTTTTTATTCCCTCAAATTTTTTTTATCGTCACGAACGCGCGCAGAGTTCGTTCATCCCTTCGTGTTTTACACGCAATATGTATGTTCTTTATACTCGTGTATACTCTATCAATTTTTTTTTTTTCTTCTTAAAGCGCAAATGCATCATTTTTTGTGCTGAAAAAAAAAAAAAAATAAAGAAAGTTTATTACATCCAAAATGTAATTGCCTGCTGGAGGGAAAAAAATAAATTTACTTTTAAAGCGTAGAAAAAAAATGATTTTGTGCACCTATACATAAATTCATTCGGTAATGATCGAAAGAAATGTATAAAACGACTCGTCTAACGCCCGTATGTTTCGTTTTTTGTTGTTACAGCTCCGAGATCGTCCAACGCGGTGACGAACAATTTGCCCCCATTGACCTTCCACACAGTCCACGGCGACAACATAAGGCTCTGCAACGGCAACACCATCGCCAGGCGACAAGAGAGCTTCTGCAAAGGCGTCACGTTCAGCGCCAGGCCCGTGCGCGTTGGTGAAAAGGTAAATTTTTCTTCTTTCTTTTATTACCACGCTGTTTACCCTAAAAAAAAAAAAAAAAAAAAACGCATTCAGGAAGTCATGAATGGTACACGCGCGCGAAATTTTTGAGAGAAAGCTTTGTTCCTCCTTTTTTTTTTTTTTTTTGTCTCGGATGGTGCGCCATAAACGTCGTAAACGCGCTCGGCTGAAAAATGCCTATAGCCATTTAATTTACAACTCGTATGGGAGGCCTCTCCTTGTTTTTTTTTTTTTTTCCCCCAACATCTGTCACCTCGATCAAGGCTCTATAGATAAGAAAAAAAAATGTGCCACACGCCATCGAAAGTCTCCTATTATCTTTTTTTTTTTTTTTTTTTTCCACGGAACACGCATAAATCTGCATGACGGACGATTTCGTGGTAAGACAAAAAAAACCAGACAGACAAAATAGTCGAATTAACATTATCACCGTGGATCCGTCGATACGCGGCCTCGATTATATTCATATTACCACACATACATATACACGCATTCCTCAAAAATCGTCAAATCTCTCGTTAAAGCGAGTCTCGCGTGGGAGAGGCCTCTGGCTCATTACATACGCGCCGCGACCTTTTTCCGCTGCCGATCCTCCGCCGCGCATAATAATAATCGAGCCTTGTACATCACGGTGATTTCTACCTTTTTTCGATATACATTTCGGGGAATGTATTCAAATTTCGAGATTTATATCTCTCTCCTTTTTGTTTTTTGTTTTTTTTTTTTTTTTTTCTACTTCGAGGCTCCCTTTTATTTTATTTCGTATATACAACGCAGAGAGAGATAGATCCGCGCAAAGGACCAAGTTCGTCGACCCCCGCGCCCGCCTTCAGCAACACCCAACGACGGGAGTGCTATCATCATCTACTAACAGCGTCGAATTGTATTGCAGGTGTGCGTCAAGTTCCTCGAGATCTCGGACAACTGGAGCGGTGTAATTCGCTTCGGGTTCACGAGCAACGACCCGGTGAACCTCCGCAGCGGCCTGCCCCGCTACGCGTGCCCGGATCTCACGAACAAGCCCGGCTACTGGGCCAAGGCCCTCGCCGAGAGGTACGCCGAGCGCGACACCGTCCTGTTCTACTACGTGACTACGGCCGGGGACGTGCACTTTGGGGTCAACGGCGAGGAGAAGGGCGTGTTCTTCAGCGGCGTCGAGACGCGCAGCGCCTTGTGGGCCATCATCGACGTGTACGGCAACAGCACGGCCATCGAGTTCGTCGACCCGAACCGCCAGCACTTCAACAACAGTGGACGTCGCGGCGCGTCCAATTCATCGGCGACGACCACAACAGTGACGACGACACCAGCAACGGCAGGGACGACGAGTACGACTTCGGACTCGCACGCCGGTGAGGATGGCGCGCACAGGCATCCGGGCCTCGACGACGCCAGCAACGCCGGCCGCGACCTCGAGCGCATCGTCGTACCCGCGATGCAGAACGTCAGCATACACCACGAGCCCGACGTCGAGCTGCCGGGCTTGCGATTCCAGCCCCAGGGCATGCTCTTCTCGCCTCTGTCCTTCCACTCGTGAGTATTTTTCATTTGCGTGTAAAAAATCCTTGTTTATTATTGGGTAAACAATAGAGGTTTCATGAATAAACTAATGGTTTTCAGGACGCGGGGTCGCAACATTCGGTTCAGCAATCAGCAGTGCGTGGCGACGCGTAGCGACACAGAGTTCTGCCACGGTTACTCCTTCACGAATCGGCCGCTTATTCTCGGTGAGCGCATAGTGGTCCAGATTTTGGCCACGGAGCCGATGTACGTGGGAGCGCTGGCCCTAGGGTTGACGTCCTGCGACCCGAGTCGGTTGAGCGTGGACGACTTGCCCGACGATAGCGACCTGTTGCTCGACAGGCCCGAGTACTGGGTGGTCTCGAAGGACGTGGCCTCGAGTCCTCAGCCCGGCGACGAGATCGCCTTTACGGTCAGTCACTACGGCGAGGTGCAGATGAGCAAGAACGGCGGCACCCCCACGGTCGTCATGCACGTCGACCAGAGCCTCCAGCTGTGGGCGTTCGTCGATGTCTACGGCAGTACTCAACGCGTGCGTATGCTGCACAGCCGGCCGCCCTGTTCGCCGCCCCGACAGCAGCGACAAATAAGCCAGCCGGCTAGTGGAAGTAACGCGGCAACGATAGCCCCCGTGCCGATGGCAGCGGCAGCCCCGGTGGTTCACAACGCGAACCTGCCCGAGGTGCAGTTCAAGCCCGCGGTGGGTGGTGGTACCGTCCTAGTGGTCAACCTGCCGCCTCAGGCCGCTTACCCGGCGGCCCAGCCGGTGCAGCCTATCTACGGCCAGGCTCGTCCTCGGCCGCCGATATCCTCAGCTTCCCCGGCTACCAATACGCTCGCGTCCACCGGCTCGTCCACCTACGTGGAACCCGTCAGTTACTCCGTCGTTCAGCAGCAACAGACGACGATACCTCCCGAGGGATCATCCTCCTCCTCCTCCTCCTCCTCCTCCTCGCACATGCAACAGTGGCGCGAGGGTTTGCAACCACCGGCACCTGGTCAGCCCAGCGAGTGCTCCATCTGCTACGAGCGTAGCATCGACAGCGTGCTCTACATGTGCGGTCACATGTGCATGTGTTACACGTGCGCGCTCCAACAGTGGCGGGGCAAGGGTGGCGGCCACTGTCCGTTGTGCCGGGCGACCATACGCGACGTCATACGCATCTACAGGTCCTGAAGCATCGAGCCGAAACAGCGAACGACAAGTCCTGGCGATGATGGCCGTAGTAGGAGTAGTAACTGCCACTGTCACAGGCCGAGCTGGAGGTCCTCGTCCAGGGCTACTCGGCCGGAAATGCCCGTGCCAAAGTTGCGTTGAGCCCTGTTGCTGCCCATCGTTACTCTTATCTTTTTTATTATCGTAGACGTCAATTAACATTGCCGCATCTCGATGGAGGGGACACACGCACACAGATTGCTCTGCTGTTGGTGCTTATGACTGATTACAATGTGACGTATGCTACGACAGCTCGTTGACTGCCGGAGTTTATATATCGTGACTTTTTTTTTTTTTTTTTTTTTTTTCCATCGAGCATTTGTAATATAAAACGAATCAAGCGAGTAGGGAAAGACAAGGTGGTGATGATGATGATCATAAAAAACGAATTATTGTTTATCATGTAATTTCTAGTTGTATTTATTTGTTACGCAGACGACGCAGGTGCCAAGGATGGAGGCACTCGAGCCCTAAATCATTTTCGACTGCCGTTTTGTTGTGTAAACGTCGTATCATTGATTTATGTAACTGCGGTTGTGTGTTTGACTATTTTCAAACGAAAATTTTTTTTGTTTCTTTTATCATTGTAAACAACATTTATATATACATGCATGTGTATGTATATATATGTAAGATTACAGACATGTATATATTATACACATATTTATATAAAAACTCATGAGGGTCAGGGAGACGAGACAACTCACTCGAATTTGCGTTTACCGTCTCACTGAGAGGGTGTATCATTGCATTTAGATGTTACGGATATGTTTGTCGATAAACTATCGAACAGTGGCAGGAGAGAAGATGTAATCTTTTGTGGCTCGTCGGTCGAGCGATTGAAGCAAGAACATAATTATATAAAGAAAAAAAACAAAAAAAAAACAAAACAAAAAAAAAACTAGCAAATAAGGATTACATGCGTAGAAGAAAAACGTGTGACGCGTGTGTTTGATCCTTCGATTTGTATACGCTCGTGTAGTTTGCATTAACCAAAGAGATTCTCTGCATGACGAGTCTTTGGGGCTTTTAAGCTCCGAAATGAAAAGGAGTTGAGAAGAATATTAATGGGGTTGACGAAAGTGTAGTCATCGATATTTTTACGTGTGTGCATGTGCGTGTGTGTATCTGGCTTTAAAGACAATTTTTTTAAATATAAAAAGTAATGGAAACAATAGAGTTTGAATGAAAAAGAAGCAAATAAAAGGAAAAAAAATAAAAAATAAAAAAAAACAAAGATAATGAAAAAAAAAAAAAAAAACCAAGCGATTCGCGCTTTCATCCTACTGAGCCGTTTTATTTTCACGAATAGTCTAGGCTCTTTCCTGCGTGAAAGGCCGTGCCTTAAATTTAATGTGAGCCAGCGAAACGATGAAAAAAAAGTAAAAGTAAGAAAATGCGAAGGTTACGCTGGAAACAAAAAAAAAAAAAAAAAAAAAAAAAAAAAAAAAACCAGAATCCAGATCATCTGTTATTCATCACATAGTCACAATTATAATGAAATATAGGTAACCGATGTTCGTGCAGATGAAGATTAAGAAAGAAAAAAATGGAGAAATCACGTAACGTAGTGAAATTTCTAGTCCAGCGAGCGTCAGCCGCCTTTGAATGTCTATATCGATTCGAGAAAATTTAAAATTAAAATTTTTATTTCGAAGATAACGAAATTCAGAAGAATAAAAATTTTTTCAGCCCAATGTTAACTTTGATACAGCACAGTTGCATCGTGAGAGAGAGATTGAAAAGAAAAAACTTGGCAAGTATGCGTTCCTGTGTGCGCGTGTGTGTAATTTACGAGTGTAAATGAATGAATTACGAAATTTTTCTAGTTAGTGATAAGGAGATTGTATCGAGTCATTGGCGGAGGGTAGAGCGAAAGTATATTCGATAATATTTAAATCTTAGCTATTATCATTATTAGTTATCATTATTATTATCATTATTCTTATGATTAATTATTATTATTACAATTACTATCGATTGATTACTAATTACAGTATACCATAACAATTAATGTAACACCACGTAATTTTTTGTTTTACCCCCAAACTCTCTGGAGATGGCGATTATTCAATTTTACATTGAAATGTCGAAAGTTATAACGTGAGCAAAATTTGGTTACCGCAAAAATAAACATTTATAAACCATTTAAACGATATGTGTTTGTTTACTCTTTTCCTTGACCATTCCATGTCCATTGTTTCAAAATCTATCCCAATTATTGGTGCTTCAGTCGACATTTTTATAACTTGCTTTATTCTGCAACTAAATTAGAATGAGGTTTAATATTAATCTTTTTTATTTATGTCGACTTTGTATACTTTACTCCTTTTATTATAAAAAGGTATAGACATACTGTTGCAATAATAAATGTGTTCAGCACAATGTCAATTGCTAGAGAGCAACGTTTCCCAAACAACATTTAGTATTTTTACGTTATTTTTACCTATACTTTTCGCAAAAAACAAGACAATTAATACCACTAGATGGCGCTGCAGCCTGCATCAGTCAGCGCCGCAAAACGAGCTGTCTGATTAACAGAATAACAAAAACATAACCTTGTTATCATGAAAATTAAAAACACGTAAGAATTAATTGAACAATCTATTATACATAGTACTTAAAAATCGTGTGGTGCGAAAAGCATTGTGATATTGAAAAAATGATACGAAATCTCGAAGAGGATCAAGTTGAGCAGCACCAACAGTCCAAGAAACTTCGAGTTGGCACGCCCGTTTTCAGCGAAGAATTCGAAGATGAATGCAACAACAGATTAATCGAATCCATATGTAAATTCGGTAGGACTGAAAAATTAAGTGCCATGTTGAGTCACGAGGACAGAGCAGCTTTTTGTATGTTACACCTTGGATCGTTTTTACATTCAGCTTTGCTGTACAAACAAGAAAAAATTGTTGACCTACTATTGGACCATAATTCTGGAAAAGATTTTGATTTCTACCAAACTTTAATGCTGATAATCACGGTTAATTCGGATCAGTATCTCATCTCGGACAGGTATTAAGTACTTTCATAACAAGTTACTCATCAACATTGATTTTCGTTTTCTCCAAAACTTGATATTAAATCATCAAACTTTCAGTTACATGGACAGTCGTATTTCAAAGCTTGTAGATGCTGGCTTGAATGCAGAGCACATGACTCAAGTGTTGCGCCACAATGCCCAGAACGACGATGGGATAAAAGCTTTACTGCGTAACGGAGCTGATATCAACATAAGGGGTAGAAATGGCACGACAGCACTGTTCTTCTTCTTTCGTGGCTCGAGCTGCTTCGGAGACAACATGAGCAACTACGCCACCTTTCGAAATCACATAAGGAAACTCCAGATCGCTGGACTGCCCGTTAGTCAAGATAACTTGGAACTTTTTGAGGAAATACAGAACAAATATGAGCAGGGCTACTTGGAAAATTATCGCCTCAAAAATGATCCTGCCACTTTAGAATTGGAAGAGTGCAGGCAAGAGTGCCAGGAGTTAAAGGCAATCAAATTGAATGCGCATCTTTCTCTTCACGACATCATGTTTCAAAACGCAAACCAAATGGCTGTACTCGCGGGCAACGAAAATTTTCGCGACATCGTTCTGTCCAAGAAATTCAGACTGAAGTTTCCCATGTACGGTTATTTATTAAAATTACAGTTCAGAAAAGGATTGCTGAGAAGGGCTCTCTTCGAATCTGCCCTGTTCACCTTGCCCTCCATGGCATCCAAGGAACTGACCGAAGTTTGCTCCCTCGAAATATTGAAATTATTGAGCGACAGGGACTTGAAAAACTTAATCAAAGCTTATTTCAAAGCTGGATAGATGGACCGACCTGCCGTATAGTAATTGTACATACAACAATTAAATAAACTTTTATATTTTACATATTTAAAATCGATTTGGGCGCGTTTCATAATTTCGTATATTTCCTCTATTTTCAGTATCCCGCACAGTATACGTGATACATTGATCTGTGTGAGATAAGCTACCACACCCAGGTAAGCATATTCTCGACAGCCGATAAGCCCTTACCGTCAGCCAGTATACACAGAGCTTTTTTTTCTCCTGACAGATGTCACGTCGCTGTGTGTGCTCTCCCGCAGTAAAACCCGAGGCTCCCATTGGTGGATTCGAAATGAATGGGACTCGGCTCGCCTTCGCTCGCTCGACTTGATCCAGCCGGCCGGCAGCATTCGGAGCACGACCGTCGTGCCGTACGTGCGTTTGCATACACCCAAGTGGGGTCTGCGTCGCGTTAACCGTTTGTTTGTTTGTTTGTTTGTTTATTTGTTGTTTTATTTTACCTTTTCAGAGGAGCTATGCAGACGCGTCGGTTGCGCGCGTGGGTTCATTGTTGTGATCCAAAAGTGCATCAGGGAGTGTGCGCGTACAGTGTGTAGCGAAAAAAAGAAAAAAAGTCCTCTCTGGACGCTCATGAATAATTCACCTGGAGCAACGGTAATAATAATAATAATAATAAAACGAAAAGTGGAGCATGGCGCCAGGAGCATCAGGTGGCCGGTATAATCGGAGCCCGGCTCGAGCTGGCCATTCCCCGCCTCGTGGTACTCCATCGTTTCTGTGTCACGCGTAAACACCACCGCTCCCAACCAAACGAGGAGACACACCTACGTACCCGCATAAAAATAAAAAAAATAATAAAAAAATTAGAAGGAAAGGAACAAGATGCCCTTCGTAGCCCGAAAGTTGGAGCCAAAGTTCCTGTGCCGGGGACACGTGCCGTACGGCTCTGGAGCGGCGCGCGACTGGCCCGTCGGTGCCGAGCTCGAGGCCGCGGCCAACGGTGCGCTCAGCGGGTCCCTCAAGCAACTGGCGTCGCTCCTTGGAGCGGCCGAGGACATCTTTGCCGAGTTGACGACCGAACTGACCGGCATAGCCGAGAGGAGCGCCAAACTCAGGCGGAGGATCGACCGGGTCGAGGAGAGCCTGCTGGCTCAGGATCCCAAGAAGATACCAGTCCGTGAGTGCAGAGACTCTTCTTTTTTTTTTCTCTTTTCACGTATAGTGTTACAGGCAGACCCTTCTCCTCTGGCTGAAATTTCACACTCCAGCTCCTCTCCGGCGATTATCTGGCTCTTATCTCTCTTATTTGCGCCCCCTCCTCGCGCCTCCTTTCTTTTAACAGGTGGTACACGGGTATTATGGCACCATCTAACACACTCGGACGACGGTTTGTTTTTCTTTCTCTCTGTACGAGCACACGTAGAAAAAAAAAGTGCCCTCACTTACACACCCTCAAATCAATGAAACCGGCGATCCCATTGGATCGTAAAGCACGTATACTGCGTTTTTCCCCACGAAAACTCCTCGTAAACTCCCAGCAAAACAGAAAAAGAAAAAAAAAATCGGTATACCTCGTCAAGCGGGTGTATTATATGTACAGAGAGAAGCGTCCGGCAAACTCGGGATCTCTTCCTCCCTGTGTACGTAATACTTAATAGGCAGGTATGTTTGCCTTTTTTTTTTTTCTTTCCTCTCTAAGCGAGTCGCCGATCGGAACGAGTTTTCCTTGGCGTGCGTGTGTAAATATATACTCAAAGCCACGTCTTCGGCATGACGAAAGTGCAGAGCAAATGAAAAGCGAAACGCTCAGCGGATACTTGTACATTCTCGCAAGCGCAATCAGTGGATGGTTTTTTTTTTTAATCCATCGTTTACAAAATTTTCTCAATATACAGAGCACCGGACACGAAGTATCTTTTGCCAAAAGTACGAAAATCGGCAAGCGCATCGTTACAAACTAAAAGAAGAAGAAGAAGAAGAAAAAAAAAAAAAAAGGTACAAGGCACGCACGTTATAAGCGGGGCGCCGTAAATGCTCTTTCTACCTGGCGCGGGAAGGCGCGCCTCTCTTTTCTTTCTTTCTCTCTCTCTGTTACCCAACGTGGGAATAAACTCTCCTCGCGCGAGAGAAGAACTCATCTCGCTGTGTGTGCACGTGTATACATATATACACAAGTATAGGTACACGCGAGAGCCTTTAAGTGCCATGGTATGCGTCGGACTGGGACTGTCTGTTTTGCTGCAGTCTCTTGAGCCTCTGTCTCGACGTCCGATCGGTAAAGGGATCGCTGAGTAAGGGGGTTTCTTTTTTTTTTTTCTCCAAATCTTTTCCTTTTTTCTCTGTGCCCTCGTGAAAAGCCGAACATCCATATACACTGTATGTATTATGTACAAATGTTGCCCAACTTTGCACTCCACACACGTTACCCGCAATTCTCAAAAATCGGCAAACAGTATAGCGCGGTCTAATTAACGCCGAAACGAAATACGCCCACCTCCTTCTTGGCGCAAGAGAAAAGTTTCTTTGCGTCGGCGTAACGGGATTGCCGGCCATGTAATGTACCTTCCTACAGAGAGAGGGACTTCCGTGCCGTGCTCGTCGCTCCGAGACCTAGGTACATACATACACATACATATATATGTGCTACAGCCGCAATTAAAAGTCTCCCCTGCCTTGTGGCTCTTCTCACCACACACGTGTACGTATATATACGTGCATATACGAGTAAATTCAGTAGCTCTTTTTTTTTTCTTTCTCTGGTGCAGGGAAGAATATTAGGGTCGAGAGAGTGCTCTTATACACGCACACACACATTGGTACAGGTATACCGCGAGCCGCTCGTTCGTTCCGCTTTTCGAGCGACTTATTTTCTACGATTGAGCAACAACATATCCGTTCTCTCTCCCCCCCCCCTCTTGGCGCCTTCTTTTATATATCTCTTCCCTTTTATCCTTTTGTTGCACGCGCGCTGTTATATAGGTATACATGTTACAATATACATAATATTATACACTCGCGCCCGGTGACTTTTTCTTATATACTTGTACTCGCGCTCTGTATCGCAAACCCTGGGTATCACAATATACACCCTACACCTACATCATAAAGCGCGAAGTGTCCTTTGAAGCGTTTCCTATCTCTGTTTTCGAGAGGCACCGGGGCACGATTGTCCTTGCAAGCGAGCGAACGTATACCTATATATATATATATATATATATATATATNTGTAAATACCGGCTTGAAAAACCGCAAGTAGGTCGTTTCTTTATTTTTTTTTTTTTTCATCAACTATGTCTTCAAAACGATAAGATAGTAAAACAAAAAGAAAATTTTTTTTTTCAAAGAATTTCTTCGTTTGGTCAACTGCACCCGCAGGTTTTTACGTCCGATAAAAGACGCGCCACTCGACACACATATAGTACATTCTAATATGTATAACGACTAATTAATCGATCCGATTGAAAGTGGATAAAAAAAAAAACAAAACTTTGTTTGTCTCCAATCGTTATTGCACATACTTCATGAGCAACTAAGCGTTTCTTGAAAAGAAAAGAGAAAAAAAAAACCTACAGCCAAGACACATCGTCTCTGTAATAGTAATCATCCAACCCCTCGACTCCCAAGCGACACTCGCGCCTTTATCCGCGCTGAAGAAAAAAAAGAAAAAAGGCCGACAAATACACCCGCGAGTATACGCCCTCCCGCAAAAAAAACGAAATTGATAAAACACAACCCTTGCCCCCTTTCGTCGCGTCATCATCGCGTGCAGACATCTCCTTTCCCGCCCCCGAACGCGCGTGCGTGCGTTGTATATATAGGTACAGATAATTTATGAGCTTTCGCCATGTACATATATATACATATACCTTGGTGCAGTAGTAGGCGTTGTCACGTGCGAAAAAGCCACCCTGCGCTAGGCTCGCGTTGCACTGGGCGCACTTGAAGCACCCTATGTGGAAATACTTGTCCTGGACTCGTAGCACCTCGCCGCTGCACTTCTTCTTGCAAGCCTGGCAGAACGTCTTTCCTGCAACACCATGAGGATACATGTACATAATTATTATTATGTTTTGAGTGTCATTGACAATTGTTTTCAGTATATTGAGGCTCGTATTATTTTTTGGAACGTAAGGTAAGCAGAATAATCATTTCACTCGTCGGCTTGAAAAAAAAAAAATCCACTTGGTCAGCGAGAGGTGAGCACAAAACTCGCCAGCGGTGGCTTCCTCGAAATAAATCTGATCTCATCAATGGGAGAAACGAAAAAAAAAAATCCACTTGGTGGTAAATCTACGTGTGAGCTTCCCGTCCGTGAAATCGAGCGTCGGCTACAAAATCAGAGCCAATAAGCCCCTCTCTGGGGAATCAGAGCGCGTGGACACCAATTTTCATGATTCCCACGGTACGATGATTACTATACTCGCGTCAGGTGTGTATCACAGCGACATCCGCAATTGCTGACCATCGCCCCCGCCGACTCTCGGATGCTCGTTGTGTCCAATTGTTTGCAAACCAATGAGTCCCGGAGTCGCGCGTCAAATCATTTTAAGATACAGGATGATGTGTATAACCACCTTCAATCGAAAAATTCGCCAGCTGCGCCCCGGCAGGTACGATGGAGAAAGAGTTCAAGGCTGCAGGACCCACAAACGCTTAAACGCGCACATATTATGTACCTACATCCCAAAAGGGCATGTTCCTCATTTATCATGCTCCCGGAGGAGGCGCATGCGCTCAACTCCAAATATACATATTACCAGCTGCCTCTGGCTGTACATACACGCAGAGATAGACTGATTGAAATTGAAGCAATCGTGTATTTATCGTGTGCCATTTGTGGGTCCCCGCAAACATACATGTTATACTTTCGTATACTCATGTTCTTACTCAAAGCAGTTGTATGTTTGGCACCGGAAAAAAAAGGGACCATATAGCAGTGCGGCGTCAATTTTTAACAGCCCAGACGGGACTTTTAAACACCCGGGGGGTGGGGTCGACGAGCAAGACAACGAAAAAAAAAAAAAAAAAAAAAAAAAAAAAAAAATGCCGAATACGTACAAATTTTTTTTAATTTTTAAATACCTTTTTGTACTCCGAGGTGATTAAAAAAATTGAATATATTAACATAGGTTGCAAATAAACTGATTGTGAATATTTTATTGTCTAAGGCAGGGAGCACGTCATCAACCTTACTGATGAGTCCTGGCGTGCTCCTGGGACGAAACATCAAAGAAACTTTTCTCTCTAATCATGGCATCACTTGATCGCCATATAACAGCTGCACGTGAGNTGTACTCGTAGGTCCATCACAACGTTTTGCATGACCGCGAACGATTAAAGAAATTGATTAGTTGCTTTTTTTTTGGACTGTTGAAACAATTATTTATCATGGAAAAAAAAGGAAACTGTTAAAGTAAGATAGGTCATACTTGATTGTATTTAAATTTAGTACAAGTTACTCGAATTTTTTGATAATTTAACAATAATTTTGGGTGTGAAATTAAATAAATTGTAGTTACATCTGTTACATTGTCACTTACAATCACAATTAGAATAAAACTCAATTTGACATTTTTCAGCAGGTGTAAATATACTATACCATGTATTGGTAAAATGGTTGTGCACGTTATACGCAAAAAATTAACCAACAGTTATGCAAACGTATTGTTTATTATCAACTTATCGCTACATTTTTTACATATACACATTTATATTCACGTTTAACATTCATATCCATTCTATTGTCCAACAACTTACTTTTCCACTTATGTACATATAAAAGTGTGGCGGTAAAAAACGCAGTGAAAATCCAACGGACGACAAAATAAACAAAATGTCTTCTTCCACATGGCACAAACACTCCAAATCTGTCCATCGCCCAACATCTCAAACATCATCGCAGTCATCGTAGCTGAGCTTGCGAGCTACGCTTTTCGGACGATTCGCCAGTCTGTCGTTGTTCAAACAAAAGCACAGGTCGAAGGGTGAGCCCCTGGCCATGCACGTGCACCGGAATCCCGTAGCTGCTCTCTTGACATCCACGAGGTAACGATCGTATATCTGCTCGTAGAACGGGTGGACCTGGCGATACAAGTGCTCGTTTGGATGGACCGCGGGCTTGGTCCACCCTTGGTACCACCGATCACACCTAAGGTGAGGTTCATGGACACACAGGTAGTAGGCGAACAACCGATCCAGGCTGAGGTTGCCCGAGTCGTAGGTCAACGGCACTTTTTTTTCACACCAAGGTGCG